TTGTGTCAATTTGAGCTCTTCGAGCTCAAAACTCTAATAGCAGTTTAAAGACACAATTTTTTGAATTTTCAAACGGCAATAACTATTGAATGAATGAACCGATTTTCAGGTGGTTGGCGGCAATCGATGTAGTTTTTTGAGCTCTATAAAAAAGTAGCTGTTTTGAGCTTTTGGGCTCTTCGAGCTCAAAAGTCTTATCAAAATTTGATAAAACACGATTTTTTAAATTTTCAAACTGTCATAACTTTTGAATGAATGAACCGATTTTCACGCGGTTGGCGGCAATCGACGCAGTTTCTGAAGCTCCACGAAAAATTTTCAAGTTTAAATCGATCGAGCCATGAATTTCGAAGTTATTACAAAAAAACACTTATTTCGATTTTTTTCGACAACGATATCTCACGAACGCATCAACCGATTCTGATGTTTTTAGTGGCGATTCATGGGGGTTTTCAAGCTTGAAAGCTGATTGATTTTTGAGACCAATCGGTTCAGCCAATTCGGAGATATTTAAAAAAATGAAAAAAAAAACAACTTTTTTTTTCACTTTTTTTGGATTTTCTCGAAATCTACTGGTCCGAATCGGTTCAAATTTTCAGGAAATCTAAGTTTGGGCAAGCCCTTTCGAATGGCGCCAACCGCGATCAATAGTCAGGGAAGCTTCCTGTGACCTTTAAACTCAAGATTTGATGAAATCTCGATTTTTGTAAAACGGGGTATAAACAATAACTATTATAAAATATTTTTATCCTACAGTTAGTAATGACAAAAGTGGTCTTGTGGTATTAACAATTTCTGAGCGTAGGACCGGGATAACGTACCACGCAACTTGTAGGACAATGTGACGGTTAATTTGTATAAATGTTAAATAAGTAAAAAAAAAAAAATTAGCTGGTTAGTAATAACTTATGATGACCTGGTTATCAATACATGTTGGTAAGGGGGGACTCATCGATCGAACCATAGATTTTGTCGGACAAATGATTTTTCGAGTCAATTAGATAATTATCTTAAGATTAAAAAAAAAATTAAGTTAGTAATAAATATTTGAGAACCATCTAATCGATAAACGGTATCCTTGCTATCTCTGTTAGGTCCCACAGTCAAGGCTTGCTTATAGGCAATTGTTGGGCGTCTCATCACTGTGAAGCTACATACAAAAAGTTAACTTGATAGTAATCAACTTCAAAAATGTACGGTGGATCCTGGACTAATATGCTTATATATAATTAACATATATATAAAAATTTTTTCTCGGATATAATCATACTTGGGTTTTATAACCTCATGTATAATCCATATATAAGTCTATATATGATCAGATTTGATTATCCCTTATGTTAATAACCAACTTTACCGACGTCTTTTAGCAACCGGGTACCCGGGTACCCACAGATCTAAATATTAGAAATTTTTTTTATTGTGTTAAAAAAAAAAAATTCTAAACATTTTTTCCTTAAAATATAAATAGTTAGTGACAATAATAAAAAAAAAATAAAATAATAATAAGAATAATAATAATGTAGTTGTGAATGACATATGAAACCAGTTTGGGGCACTCCAGGTAGTCGATCCGCTTTTATTTGTCGGCGCTGAACAGATGCCGTTGGAGAGAAACAAACACTCGCGGTTATTTCTTTTTATTCGATCTAGAGCAAGAGTCGAGTATTTTTTAGTACGTATTAGATTTTTGGTGGGATCAGACGTGTTTTATTTATGGCGTTCTCTTCATAGTGAAAAATAAAGTTATGGAACAACTATCGAGAGCTGAATTTTCTAAGTAAGTAAAGTTTACATATATTTAACATTTATTGTAAATTTTTTAATTATAATTTTGTGTAATAGTATTATTAAGAAATTGTATAATATAATAATTAATTCATTAGGTTAAGTGCAACTGAAAAAAATGAATATTTGAAAAAACTACTTGGAGAAAACGATAGTGATTCGAGCGGGCCGTCTGACAGTGATGACGAAGACTGGATTCCAGCGAATAGAGCTAGACGTCAAATTTCAAGTCAAGAAGATAATTCAGAGCATGATGAACCAGAAGATTCTGGAGATATAGGAGAAATTTCTGAGAGAAATTTAGAAGAAGAAGAAGAAGAAGAAGAGGTTGAGAATAGTGAGAGTGAGGAAGACGACGACGAAGTAGAAACTTCTGAACCTGAAGGTAGTAAAATATTTGTTCCTAATAATTATTGAAATAATAATTTTTGTTCTCAAATAATTAATTTATGTTATTATATATTGTTATTTATTCTAGGACGATCTCGAGAACTATCTGGGAGTTTTATTGCGAAGGATAAAACAAAGTGGAGCAAAACTCCACCGTCTCAGCATCAGACTGCAGCTCATAATGTTGTACGTTAGCGAAGTGGGCCTCATCGTAGTACGGAAATGTTGTCAATAAGCGAGACTTTCAAAAAAATCTTCACATACGAAATGGTTGATATAATCGTCCGTCACACTAACAAGAAAGCTGAAGCTACTTATCAAAATTATAATGCTGACCATCCAGACTCTCATCATCAATGGAAGCCCGTTACGATACCAGAAATTTATTCATTCTTCGGTATCTTGATTTGTGCTGGCGCAAATAATTCAAATACGGACCATACTTTTGATATGTGGCACTCCAATTCTTATCCGCTGTATCGCGCCACGATGGGATTAAACAGATTCCATAGTATTCTGCGTTTTTTGAGATTCGACGATAGTAGTACCCGAAATCAACGCAAAAAAGAAGACAAGGCAGCTCCAATTCGTGATGTGTGGACAATGTTTAATTCAAATTTAGCTCAGATGTACAAACCAACCGCAAATTTGACAATTGATGGACAGCTCTATCCGTACCATGGTCGTACAGGATTCACTCAATATATACCATCGAAACCAGCTAAGTATGGTATAAAGATCTGGTGGATTTGTGATGCGGAAAACGCATATCCTTTGCAAGGGATTTTGTACACTGGTAAAACAGATGGTACTCGGGAAAAAAATCAGGGTGAAAGAGTAGTGAAAGAATTGGCAGCTCCGTACCGAGGTAGTGGTAGAAACATTTGCATGGATAACTTCTTTACTACTCTTCCCGTTGCTAAACATTTGTTATCGTGGAAACTTACAATTGTTGGCACAGTAAAAAAAAATAAACCCTACATCCCTAGTGTTATGAAAGCAAATAAGATACGGGAGCAGTATTCGACAGTTTTTGGATTTCATGAAAAGGTTACTATGTGTTCTTATGTTCCTAAGAAAAATAAAGCTGTCATTCTGTTATCTACAATGCATTCAGATGCATCAGTTGATGATGATGCTAAGCGAAAACCAGAAATTATAAAATTTTATAATAGATATAAAGCTGGTGTTGACACAATGGACCAAATGGTTCGGAGGTACACATGTCAACGACGATCTTCGAGATGGCCAATGGCATTGTTCTTCAACATGCTAGACGTTTCTTCACTTGCATCATATCTAATTTATTATGAAAATAATAAAATGATTGCTAAAAAAACTACAGAACGTCGTCAATTTATGCGGAAGCTAAGTGAAGAACTATCATTGCCGATGATTGAACACCGCACGGCGAATCCGCAAATAATCCGTCACTTCTCGACAAAGATTGCTGTTGAAAGTATTTTAGGTCATGCACTATCAGAAACAACCGAGATAAATTCTGGTCCAGTAGTTCCAAAAGATAAAACCGGAAGAAAAAAAAGTGACAGGATCTTGTCATGTATGCAATGCTTTGCCAATAAAAAGACGGCGAAAGACTCGTAAGAGCTGTGCCAATTGTCACCAGCCAGTATGTGACGAGCACTCAATTAATCTTACGCAGTGTGTAAAATGTTAGATTTTATGTCATTAATTATAAAAAATGTATTATTTCTTTATTTTTTCAATAAAATTTAGTTGCATGCGTTTATAGAAACCATTTTCGATTTATTTTCTATACTTTCTACTGTGGGTACCCGGGTACCCGGTTGCTAATGGGGCGATGGCTGAAGTTTAAGATTATTTAAAAAAAAAATAATAAGTAAATAAATTAAATGCACTCACAACTAACTTTCTTTTGAGTTAAAAAACGACGATTCGAGGGCTTAAAATAAAATATTGAATTTTCTTTGAGCTATTCATACAAATATACCGCGGTGGGTACCCGGGTACCCGGTTGCTAACATAAGGGTTATATATGAATGAGTCTTTATATAATTAGATCTAATCAGACTTGTATAGTTAGATGTGATCGAAATTTTTTATTTGAAACAATTTTTTTTTTTTATAATCACAAAAAGTGCAAAACGGTGTTCATAATTACGTTTAAATAATTCTTAAATACAAATTTTTTACATTTCCTATGAAATGTTTTGGTCTGCTCTACTACTACCTAATAGTAAAATCATTATTTATTTTATGAATAATTTATTAAAATAAATTAATTATGAACTATGACTATCTAAATATATTATAAAATCAATTTTTATATTATATTTAAGATAAACTTATATGATGCATTAAGTAGATCATAGAATCATTATTGTCTAAGATAGCAGCATAGCAGACAGAAACTTCAAGACGCACGGAGATCACCAAAGCCGCATTGCGTAGGGTTAGTAGTTGGATGGGTGACCGCTGGTGTTATAGCATGAAAAATTATATACTGACATTTTTTTTTACATTTTAATTATTTTTAGAGAATTGCGTAGGACCATATTAAATACTCCATCCATAAAATTAACCCATTAATTAATTAGATGTGATAAATATATTATTGAACATTGTTATACATAATTATATATATATTTATATATAATTATATATGATTATTGGGATCCCAAGGATGGGCGTGGCTTAAGCGCCAGTCCTCTAGCGGCTAAAATATGTACTACTCAAAGTAGGCTATTGTCAATGTTTACATTACATTCTGTCAGTTGATTTATTAATATTTTGTAATTATTTTTGAATAATTACACGGTTTTAAGGTCTTTGATTAAAATATGCGTATTTCTATTCAAGAAATTCGTGCATTCGCGCATGCAACACCTCGAAGTAAATGTTTCACAGGTGGTGAAAATATACTTAACCAAGGACACTTGTTAAACTGTGGCAAGATAAGTGAGGAAAATAATTTCTTAAAAATAATTGCTTTTTGTCTCCAATCCTCAAATATAAGAGATAATCCTCATGAAATTAATGGGGAAGTTCTTAAAGATAAAGGAAAAATCGTGGGTATGAGTTGTTCCTGTGCAGCTGGTTTAGGTGGTGAATGTAAGCATGTGGTAGCAACACTACTTTATTTGAATCGGTGAGTATACAAAGCTTTTGTCTTGTGTATTTTTTTGACTAAAAATAAATATTTCAATAATTAATATCGATGTAATATCAGTAGATGTTTAACAATGTGTATTAATTTTTTCAGAAATGATTCGGAAAGTTTAAAAGTAATCTCTTGTACTGATAAAAAATGTGCATGGAGTGCTCCCAAACAGTCAGCACTACAACAGTACGATATGAAACCATTACTGTCACATAGCTGTTTAGTACAACAAATTAATTTAACAAGAGAAAGAAAATTAAAGGAAAAAAAAAAAACAATATCTATCCCAGATGATCTCAGCGTTGCTCTCCAAGTCATAGAAGGTGTTAATCACATGGACCTTCAAGAATCCGACAATCCTGATAATGCTGATAATACTGGTGATGTATGTGATGATTCGGAACCTTCAATTGATAATACTGTCAACGTTACGCTACAAACTGATGATAATGATGAAAACGAAGAATTTCGACGAATTTTAATTGAGGATAATCTATTATCAGCTTTAGCAATGCATATGTAATTGCTACGTTTTCTTTGACTTATTTTTAAGTATTGTGATTTCATTTTTTTTTTTTATCATTTACACACTTTCTATAATTTTTTATATTTTACACAATTTACATCCCAATATTTACTTCTAAAAGAAATCACTATTGTGAGAAAATTTAACTCTTTATTTTTAATTTTTTATTTGTTTTAGTGAAAGAATTTTTGGAATTTAGCCATTTATCAAAAACTTTATACTTAAAAATAAGAATTTTGGTATTGTAAGTAAGTGGTTAAATAAGTGCCGGAATGATTTTTTTTAATAAACAAAATGATTAATAAACGTACTTTTTTTTTTTTTTTTTTATTTTATTGCATGTAGACTTGGAAGGCATGATCCTGTACAAGCAGAAACTAATAAAGTAATTATATCACCAGATAAAATGACGGCTATAATAAAGAATCAACAGAAGTCTGAATTACTTCTGAAACTGAAGAATTTTGATATAAAATTTACACCTGGAGAATGTTGTAAAAAAACATTAAGTCGTCTCTCAGATGATACTCGAAAAATCTGTGAAGACACTCATGAGTTCTATAGTGTTTGGATTAAGGAAAGGCAATTGAGGATAACCGCGAGTGATGCCTACAAACTTTTTACTTATCGTAAAAATAAAAACCCAGATTGGAAAAAAAAGTCTGTAGATTACTTTTTTGGAGAATCCTTCAGTAATGCAAATACAAAATACGGTCTTAAGAATGAATCTATAGATCGTGAAGCTTATGAAGCCAAAATGTCTGTTGAAGTAGTTCAATGTGGATTGATTATCTCGAAGGAGAACCCTTGGCTAGGTGGCTCTCCAGATGGAATAATATTTAAAAATAATGAATCATACAAAATTCTTGAAATCAAATGCCCAGTTGAAGGTAAAAAAACAAGTGCTGAGGATTTAATTAAAACAGTGAAATGGTTAGAAGTACTAAATGGTGAAGTAGGCTTAAAGAAGAAACATATGTATTATGCTCAGGTCCAAATTATTATGTTGCTCGTCAATGTGCAATCTACTGATTTCGTAATTTATTCTTCTTTCGATAAGAGTTTTAAAATTATTCCTGTTAGTTTTGACAAAAAATTTACTAAAGATTTATTGTTTTCATTAAAAGTTATATATTTTAAATTTATGTTGCATAATATCTGTGAAAAAGAACGAGAGCAGCAAAGTGAAGAGTAACTTGTTTTTTTTTAATTCTGTTATAACAATGTATCAATAATGGAATTGATGTATTTTCATAAAATGTTATATATTTTGTGCAATATAAAAATATAGATAAGTTTATCTGTGAAAAACATATTTTATTGTTAATTTTTACAATGTTTTATTTTTCTTAACAAAATTTATCATTTTTTAGAATTGGACTACTTAAATTTACAATAGCACAAATAATAGTAAATATTTCCATTGATTTAAAGATGAGACCTACAGGCATTTTGGAAGATAATATCTGGAAAATTTTAAGACGTTGGTTACTTCTTTCAATGTGAACTCGGGCTTTAGCTATTAATCGCCCCATCTGAGCTTCTGCTTGTGAAAATTGTTTTCTTTGTTTCAGGAATAGAGGTGTAATTAGATTAACATCATATTTTTTACACAGATCTCCAACTGTGAATCCTCGATCAGCCATCAAGTCGTCATTTTTGTCCATCATTTTTAAGATTCCACTTTGTTCAAAAATAGCATTATCGGAAGATCGACCACCATACGGCTTGCTGATAAATGAGATGATTCCTGCTGGTGTGACAGCTGTCATAAACTTTAGCGTATAACCACTTTTATAATAAGAATAAGTATTTAATTGGCAACATAAGTTTTTAAATTTTTGTATTGGAATTTCAATACAGTCGACGACAGTTCGCACATTCGAAAAATTTTTAAAGCATAGCGGTAGATTTCTTGAAATATTATCTTTACTTGGCCAATAAATGACGTTTTTCAAACATGAATACAAAATATCAATCATGTCTAGAATTCTTATTCGACAAGTCTCAGAAGTACAAATTTTAAATAAAACTGATAATACTGCATACAACATATTTTGTCTCAGTTTCATAAATGTCATAACAATAATCTCTTGATTATCAAATTTAGCGTTCACGTGGGCAGATGATGTTTTTTTATCAACTAACTTTTTTATTGATTTCAGTAAAGCAAAGTCAGGTATTCCTGTCATTGTGCTCAATTCATACTCAGTTGTAATTAAAGATGTAAATTTTGGAGTTAGTGATACTGTTGAAACCTGTATGCTCATATCCCGAAACTCCTTATCGATTTGGACCTCTGGAAATTGAGTTGTAGCATCTTTAGATTGGGAACAAGAATTTTCATCGCTTGATGAGATTGGAGATTGAGTATTTTCATTTTCCATGTTCGTCAATTGGACAGTGTCTTCGTTCAATTTTGAAAAATCGGAGAAATTAAAATTATCATCATAAGTATCTTGACCAATATTGTTCAAGTTATGTTCTTTTTTCGTAGTTCGATCCTGTAATCTTTTCAATCGAAGAGAATTTTTTTTAACTTTCGAAGAGTCCAATGATGTGTCAGTTGAAAGAGTCGGCAGGTTTACTGATGGAACTGATGTTTTTTTTAATCTGCGCACTATACAACCTTCAAAAAAATAATGACGATTAAAATTCAGCAAAAAATAGATTTTTAAAACATTCACAATAAATAAAAATCATAAATTAACAATTAGCACTTACTCGATGGAATAAAATCTTCTGCGACAAAATGTAATGAACATACTCTCATCGTAGCGGTCACAGTTTTACCCATTTTCAAAATTTTTATCCATGCATTAAAACGATCAATTTTTTCATCTTCACCGAATTTATTTTTAATAGTAACCACACTCTCATTTTTTTTCGGATAATTAAAAAAACGAACCGTGTCGTTTTTACATGCTCGACTTTTACAACCATAAACGGAGCAATAAATTTTGCTTTTATTTGGTTTTGGTGAGAACTCCATTACAACAATTTAAAATAAAGTTTATATATAAATTCACAAAAATAATTATTAACAAACTAGAAGTTTAATTGATTTTATAAAATAAATAGTTCTCACTACTTGCATTACAGACGGACGTAAACATTGACACTCAAGCCTACTTTGAGAGGTTATACTTTTCGCCACTAGTTGGCGTACCCAAATCATTGGGATCCCAATATATGATTATATATAATTATATATGATTATATTTGGCCATTTTTCATATATAATCATATATACCCAATTTATATATAAATATATATACGGTAGAACCTCTATAACTCGAACTCCAAGGGAGAGCAAAAAAAATTCGAGTTATAGAGTTTTCGAGTTATAGAGGGTTTCGAGTTAGGGAGGTGACTGCTAACTGGTTTCGAGTTAGGGAGGTGACAAACAGAAAGGAAAAAGTCGAATACATGCACATACAAAAATTCAAGTTCCATATATATGGAACTTGAATTTGATTATATAATCAACATATTTATTCAAAAAACTTATTGGAAAAAATCAGTTATTTTTTTTTGCTTTAAATAAGGCTGTTCATTATCTATTGCATTGTCTAAAACTGGTAATCCTAATCAGATACTTAAATACAGTAATAACTTAAAATTCGAGATAAAGAGGTCCAAGTGTGTGTATTCGAGTTATGGAGGGTAAAAATGTACAGAAATAGCTTGTAGGGACTCACTAATTATTTCGACTTATAGAGGGTAAAAATTTCGAGCAACGGAGGATTTATGGCTTGAAGGGAAGGGGATGAAATATTTCTTCGAGTTACGGAGGTTTTCGAGTTATCGAGGTTCTACTGTATTTTATCTCTACTCCGGATATATTGTTGCAGATATTTTATACTCGATTATATTGCCATATACTCATGAGATGCAGTTATTTTCTATCTTAATTTTGCTCATAAATGATAATCCACACTACTCGAAAACAATACACAGAAAAAAAAATTTACTTGAATCAAGTAAATAATTTTGAAGAACTAAATCTTCTTGATTTGAGTAGAAAAATTTTTAAACCAAGAAATTTTTCGTGGTTTAAATAAATTTTACTTGATTCAAAAATTTTTCATCTTGATTCAAGACAATGAAACTTTTCAAAATTATTTTTTTGGTTCAAGAATTTTTTACTTGATTCAAGGTAATTTTTTTTTCTGTATACTGTTTATATTTGTACTCAAAATATAATTTTTTCTTAAATTGTCAATCTAAACCATTCTTGAATCCACTTGAAGACACACAAAAAATTTCATTAAAATCGGTCCAACTTAGGAAGAGTTCAGTGACAAACACACGCACAGAAGAAGTATATATTTTGAAATTTTGAAATTTCAGCAAAAATTTTATTTTTATTTTTTTTTTTATTTATTTATGATTTAATGCCAAGGCAATGGCCAAATTGCAAAATATACATTTCAATTATATTAAAGTACACGTAATGAGTAATAAAAATATTATTATATTGTTTTACAATTTCATTTAGTATATTTTTCTGAGAGTGGTTTAATATTTAAAAAATTTGAAAAATGAAAACTTTAGTATGTAATATACTCAACAGATCTTTGCAAGAATAATTTATGTAGATAGACAAAATAATTTAATTTGTATATATGATTAATTTGCTGTTTAAGACTGATAGCAGGTAGATTCCTTGATAGCAAACACAAAAGAAAGTAGTTTTTTAGCAAGTAAGTTGATCCAAAAATTAAACTGAGCTAGGTAAATTTGTGAGACGTTCATGGTTGGCCTTCTCGTTCCTTGTGAAGAAAAAATTCATAGGAACTGGTCTTGAAAGTATCAAGATTCAGTGAGTTAATTATTTCAACTGGTAATTCCCTCCAAAGTCGGATAGCGGATACCACAAAAGAGTGTTCATAGACTAAGCTGGTGAAGTTTGGGATTTTGAAATTATTAAAAAATTTTACTAAATATTCTAGTGTATAAATTTTATAAAATATAAAACTAATAAAGTATTAATTATTTTACATGTTATTTTAGACTTTTAAATGGTTCTATAGAAAAAATCCAGTCTTTTAACCAAAAAAACGCCATTTTTTGGTATAGTCTCAGTTATAGTACCGACATACTACTGTTTTCATCTTTAAAAGTTTAATTATTAAAAATTTTTACTAAATATTCTAGTGTATAAATTTTATAAAATATAAAACTAATAAAGTATTAATTATTTTATATTTTTGAACGTTTCTTTATAAAAAATCCAGTCTTTTAACCAAAAAAACGCCATTTTTTGGTATAGTCTCAGTTATAGTACCGACATACTACTGTTTTCATCTTTAAAAGTTTAATTATTAAAAATTTTTACTAAATATTCTAGTGTATAAATTTTATAAAATATAAAACTAATAAAGTATTAATTATTTTACATGTTATTTTAGACTTTTAAATGGTTCTATAGAAAAAATCCAGTCTTTTAACCAAAAAAACGCCATTTTTTGGTATAGTCTCAGTTATAGTACCGACATACTACTGTTTTCATCTTTAAAAGTTTAATTATTAAAAATTTTTACTAAATATTCTAGTGTATAAATTTTATAAAATATAAAACTAATAAAGTATTAATTATTTTACATGTTATTTTAGACTTTTAAATGGTTCTATAGAAAAAATCCAGTCTTTTAACCAAAAAAACGCTATTTTCTAGTATAGTCTCAGTTACAGTACCGACATACTACTATTTTCATCTATAAAAATTTTGAAAAATTACTTACAATGAAAAAAATCTATTATTAAGGAAAAAAACCTTTAAAAACATTAATTTAACCTTTTGAATTAATTAAACATAAAGTATAATTTTTTTTTTTTTAATTTTAATTTTTAACTATGATAGAGTTCTGGCACAATTATGAAACTATTTTTTTTGAATTTCTCATCCAATTTCCTGTGGAATTATGACTTTTACGAATATTAATAAATGGTACGCCGTGTTGAAAAAAAATAGAAAATCATTTTTTTATTAAAAAATCAAGTTATTTCAATGTTTTTATTCATTAAACACTAGTTATCGCTATATTTAAATATATTATTTTTTACATCGTAAGAAAGATTTTCTGTGATCCTCATGACTAATCCTCCTCGTTATCTTCATCAATGACCGTCAATATTTGAACTATTTGGATATTTAGAGTTACAGTCAACAACCAAGTTTTCTATAAGTTG